CGAGCTAAGAAAATGTTTATCTCCCTGAGCCTGGCCTTCATAATTCCATTCCATCACACTTGTACTGACCTTAACATTATTTTAGTAGGCTTTTTCAAGGATTGTACAGTGTCTCCAAGAGTAAAATAGTGCAATTGTTCAAAAAGCATATAAATGCTTCTATCACTAGAAGTAGGATGTAATTCTCAACAGCTACCGTTGTAGAGAGATACACATAAATTCGAGGCCAAAATTTTTGGTTTTATTTGCAGTAAGAGTTTACTATTAAATATAAGCCTACAATTCCTTTTCATTTGATAGTAGATTCTTACATTATAAAGCCTTTAGCTTTATTTTCTAACCGCAGTATGGAGTAATACTGTATTTAAAGCTTTTACCATAGTACTCTTGAGTTAATTGATACACACAGTTAGAAGAATATCAGCAATATTAGGGTAATTTATGCACAGGGTATAAATTCATCTTAAAATAATGAATAAGTAATTATTGCCATTTATAGTATTAAAAAGCAATAGGTTCACTTCCATTTTATAATGTGTAAGTTGGAACTTTGCCAGTTTCCATTCTGTCTGATCAGTGCAGTTAGAAAAGTAGAACAGTATCTCAATATCTTGATTCACATGATAAATATATCAATATGAGATACACCAAGTTAATCAGAATTCTAATTAAAATTCAAGCAAAAGTTAATTGTATGAAGAAAACAGAACATAAATTGCAATCCATAGATACTTTAAAGACTGCCTTCTTCAATTCAGAAGTCTTGCTCTGTCTGCCATTATCAAAAGCAATACTGTATGGTCACACATGTGAAATGCTTCCTAAATGAGGCTCACCTGCAAACATGATTAAATAGTTATAATGGAATTGATTCCCATTATTAGAATATAGCAATTGAAGAAATCAATATGTTAAAAAGCCCAGAAGCAACAGAAAGGGAAAAAGAATTCATTGTATATTAAAAATATCCATTCGAGCTCAGAAATCCAAACTTAACTTCCAATTAACTTGGAAGACCTGTAGATAGCCTCTGGTTAAATAATAATAATAAAAAAAAAAACAATGTTGGCAAGTACTATCACCTGCCCAATCAAGAATAATCTGAATGATGCTTTTTTTAAACATGTAGATCTTTTATAGACAAACTTAACAAACTGGAACAGGTTCAAAGAAGGATCTCCCATATTATGAGGATAAACTAAGTCTCATGAAGTTATTGCAAATGTTTAGTCTTGAGAAGATTGAAATAGAAGCTGACAGCACCTCCTCTTTCTTATTCTAGTATGCAGGAATGCAAATTCCAACCGCATATTAGTAAAAGCTTCCTAACTGTAACAACAGATAGACAGTGGACTTAATTATTTTAAGAGTTACTGGGCTCCTTCCATTGGGTGTGCTCAGTTGGAAGCTAGATAACCATCTCTCAGGGATGTTGGATTCCTACACTGAGCATGGAATTGAACTAGGTGGTCTAAATGGCCCATTCCAACTCTATGATTCTATTATATATTGAATGGGTACCTTATTTATTTCAATTTTATATTGGATTTGTTTGCTATTACTATATTATTTAATTATTATGTGACACCATTTTGAATTCACCTTGGGAAATAAAAAGGTATGTAAATAAAGTAGCAAATGTACTCAGTAGCAAATGTACTCAGTGTAGTCCATTCCATAATAATATATTTAGGAGATTTGGGTGCCTCAGTATATTTGGATCAATTAGTAGTCCAGATCCAGCTGAAGTCAATATATTTAGTATTTAATTGCAGTCAGTGAGCGGTGAAGGTAAATAAAATAAAAGTGCCAGCTCCACTTATATACAAAGACAAAATACCTCCTAATTGTATTAATAGCAGTGAAAGTTAAAAAGGGGGGGGGAGGGAATGAAAAAATATTTTCTATAAATAACCCCATGGGCCTTAAGAAAAGGCACAGAAGAAAGGAATATGACTACAGATTGGCATACTTTATACTAACTCATCCAACTGATAGGACTGCAACTTGCCTTCTCAGATTGGGCAGTATGCTAGTTTTAGAAAGGTGCACTACATTAAAAAACATAGCTCATGAAAGGCTAGGCTAGGCTAGCTCATGGATAGCATTTTGAGCTGAAGCTATGTCATTATTGTACAAGTACTGGTGAAAGTTAATGTAGATCACATTCTATTTTCTGCATTTGTTTTTTCTGCAGGCAGGTGACAAACATTACCATCCAAGTTGTGCACGATGCAGCAGATGCAACCAAATGTTCACAGAAGGAGAAGAAATGTATCTGCAAGGTATGGAAATTATATATTGAAACCACTCAGAAGCTGCAGGTGGTGCAAAATGCAGCAGCATGGCAGTTATGGGCATACAACAACATGCCCATATAACACCTCTGCTTTGTGAATTGCACTGGTTACAAGTAGGCTTCCAGGTGCAGTTCAGGGTACTGGTCATTACCTTTAAAGCCCTTCATGTCATGGTTATCTAAGGAACTTCCACAGTTTCTGCTCATCCTGTACAATCAGGCATAGTTGGCATACTCCAGATCCCATCCATTAATCAGTAACTTCTGATGGGACCTAGGAAGCACACCTTCTCTATCACAATACTTGTCCTCTGGAACATCTTAACAAGGTCTTCAAGGCTGAACTGAGGTTATAGCAGACTGTATTGCTTTCTGTTTCATTGATTAATCTGTGTGGATTTTTTTTCATTTCTTTTTTTCTGATTCTGATTCTGACCAAATATAAAAGTACCGGTTTGCTTCAGTGCATATCCTTATCCAGATGTTTCATTATGAAATGATCTAAAGCTAAATGGGATTAAAATATAAGTCAACTTAGAACTTCCTGAATCTAAACACAGGTAGATGCTATGTAAAAAGAAATAGACCCTTGTTTACTTTTTCTTTTTCTTTTCCTTTTTTTTTTTTTTTAACAAAAATAAGAAGTACCAGCATTTCCCCATGGAAAAAGATGTTTCTTCTGGTGCTCTTGTGATTAGAGCTTACTTCCATTATTTATCAGCATCAAAAATACAAAATGCAAGTGTTTTTTTTTTAAGTATTGTAACTTTTCTTGAAGAAAGTAATGCAATACGAAGCTATATGATCAGAAAGTATAAAGACAGAAACTTCAAATTGGGTAGTATGTTCACTGTACATTAGATTTGTCTGTGAGCCAAGTAATCTTACAATATGGAAATTGTTGTCATATCTTCCTGCTGAAGATATCTGGACTTCTCTCTTCATCCAGTCGAAACCTAAGTGCTTCCTCTGTCCTCATGAGAATTAATGTTTACAATGGAGTGTGCCATTAATAAAATAAAATTGTCCTTTATTTTACTGCTAAATGTAGGTGTTTTAATTAAAGGTCCTGCATGGTAAATGCAGGAAACTTGACATTTACTCCATAAATCTTTCCGCCTTCTGAGAAAAAGATGTTCTTTACTTTATAGCATGCCACATAGCTAATGAAAATAAGAAAAAGTGACGGAGTTTTCTAGTTTTTGCTGTATCAGGCATGGTCTTTATACTCCCTTCCTCAGTCAAATGGGGATGCTTAGTGTGGTCATTACTTTTGTGTAGGCAAGATTGAATAGTGGTTTTTTTTCAAAAATCCCTTTTTGTTGTTGTTGTTCAGTCGGTAAGTCGTGTCCGACTCTTTGTGACCCCATGAACCATATTGCGCCAGGCCTTCCTGTCCTTAACTGCCTCCCTGAGTTTGCTCAGTTTCATGCTCATTGCTTCACTGA